AGCCGTAAGGCCCCCCGGACTGTGGGGTGCAACGGGAAACGTTTTTAAGAGTTTTTCTGACAGGTAATTTATTTCATGAGGTAAGGGCCCGGAAGAACAGGTGTGGGGCAGGAGAGGGGGGAGCCGGCAGTCTCGTCGGGCGGCCTGGCTGCCAAAAGGAAAAAATGGTTGAACTGCGCCCTCGGTATGCGTGTGCAGCTGCGGTAACTGCATCGAAATGCTGTAACAGACGTGAAGAAATACGTAAAATGTCTGTAACTCAGTAGTGGGAAGGTTGTGAGAAGAGCGAGTGTGTAGCAAATTCAGATGTGATTTTTTTTTTTTTTTCCCCCAAATAAAATACTTACTCAGGCGACTAACTCAAACACATGATCAAGCCAAAGTGTTTAGGGAGAGCTAATAATAAATAAATAAATGCTTCAAGCTAGCTAGCATAAATATTAATGGTGGTGATAAACACTGGTGCTTAAGGGGTCACAGTAAAAAACCCCTATCTTTTTAGCTTGCCTGTTTGCTTTGTAGTCTACTATGAGATTTTTGTCTTTGTTCGAAATCACCATTTTTGGTTGAAATAGAAGATGAGGTTATATAAACCATTAAGCTTACCTGGTAAGGCGCAATTTGGTCTACCTTTTCTGCACGTTTTAAATAGAAGTTAGCATGTGAGCAGTACTTTTGGAGACGGTAGGCTAAAAAACAATCCAGTGTAAGTTATTCATCTGTCTGGTCTTGGGTTTCCAAAGTTACGGTACAGTACACATTTAAGCTGGTAGTGCCTCCACGTGCCTGCATTTATGCCGGACAGTGAAGCACGCTGAGGAAAAATGACCTGGCTGACAGCCAAGCGTTCCCCTGCAATATTTTTCTGTGAGATCAGGTCTTCAAACCATTTTGTTGTGCACTTGCTGCGCAGAGACTGGCACAAGAGAGGGAGAAGGCGGGAAAGAGAAAATAGGTGAAGAAGAGATGACGCGTTTTGGTTCTGGTGTAATGCCAGGCTAGACCCTTGTCAAACTTCAACCTGAGAGACCAAAGATGTTAAAGTTGTCCCAAATGCCTTGTACCAAATCTGAACAGCCTGTTCAAAGTTTTAGTTTAGTCCTTCCATGGTAATATTTGTTCCCCATCAGATGTGTGCATTCTGATAAGTCACAATTTCTCAGTTTTGGAGTCCTGTGAATGTTTACAATGTCTTATCCAGGTTGTGTTCATACTGACATCTACAAAACAGTTACACCCCTCATGCAGAAGCTTTAAAAAATACATATACAAAATAATGGAACAGTAAGAGATTCTGTTACCTGTTGAAAGGAAAAAATACACTTTTCCTGACATTAGATGTAGCATAAATAGTTCAGTCCACATTTGATTGAGTCAGTAGGAAGATGTTTATTGCTATTAGTGTGTTACGGGTCAGACTCAAATATAGATGGATAAGAGTGTATTCAGTGGAAACCATTTTATTTATGGATCTCTGTGTATAGACAAACTTGGGTTTAATTCTGTTGATGAAGACTGGGCCTCGATTTCGTGTCCATCCTGCAGAACAGCAGTGCAGTCATAGCAGAATATAGTAATGGTTGCATTACTCCTGCATACTATTTATAGCTAACTGCATCTTCGTGCTCTATGCACAAGTCAAAGATCATGCACTCCCAGTATTATATACCTTCAGTACACCTCAAGGAACTACACAAATTCAGTCTACTTGAGTTTGAAATTATTATTTTTCAAAAATGTAGTAATCGTGTAACATTTTGCCTTCTGGTGAGTTTTGGTCAAGGCTAGAACATCAGCCTGATATTTTAACTGCTTTCCTTCCATGCAGATTTAATACCACATCAGATTTGAGGTGCTTAACATTCAAGTGGGCAGTACCTAAAAAATGATGGCACAGTCAGCAGCTTAATATCTCCGCACAATAGAACAAGCAACAGAAGAGTTGATTTGAGTGTGTGGGATGAATTCCTGTGACAGCAACTAACAAACACTGTACCACATAGAATGAAAAAGACAGGATAAAAGGGCTGCATGTGACGTGACAGTCACATTCCTTAATTCTCTACCAGAAGCATTTTTGATGCTGCTGTAGGAGTTTTGTTCTGAGATTCTGTCCAGAATAACCCACTGCAG